GCTGCCACAGAGAGGGGGAGTCAAGCTATTTTCCAAGGCACCTGAAGGCCAGACAAGGAATAATCACTGGAAACTGATCGAGGACCTGAAACTAAGGAGAAATTTTCTGATAGTGAGAGCAATCAATAGAAGTTGCCTTCGAAAATTGTGGGAGCTTCATCACTGGAGGCTTTCAAAAAGAGACTGGACTGACAGAAATGGTGAAGGGTCTCCTGCTTGGGTGGGGGGTTGGATTAGATGACCTACAAGGTGTCTTCCAACTCTATTAATCTAATCTAATCTAATCTAATCTAATCTAATCTGCCAGTAATCTAATCTAATCATTTCTACAGTCAGCTACAAATATTCTCCTTTATCAATGCTGGGGAGTTGCAATTCAGCTCTATTGGAAGAACTTCAAATCCATCACTATTGCTCTAGGTCTAGATAATTCATTCCAATAATGAACTACTTGGACCAAGAATTTATCCTGATCTTCAGCTAAAATCTTGCAACTAAGATACACAAGAGCTACCCACACAACTTTTGTTCGTTTGTATGTATGTATGTATGTATGTATGTATGTATGTATGTATTTATTTATTTAGCGTATGGCATGCATTAGCCAGGGATCACCAAGGTAGCTGGCTGCCTCTGTGAAAGGAATTTTTTCAGGCGGAGTTATCTTTACCCGCGGGGTGCCTGAATGCTGGTAGGCAATCGGGGGAGGCTCCTTTCTTGTCTCTCCGTGGTTTATTCGCTCATGGGAATCGAGCCACCGAGTACAACAAATGTCACACAGACTCATCCCTGCTTGGTATTTTCCTTAAATAGAATTAAGGTTAGGGGTTAGCCCATGTTATATCCACATTTCTAGAAGGAAATGCTACTGTAATTACACCCTTATTCTTTTTTCACTGACTATATTGTGTTCCTCCATCATAATTTGTTGAATTGCATCTCTATTTGCTAGGTGGTGCATTCTTTATTCTGTCGATTGAAAAACCAAGTGCCATCAGTTTTTAAGTTAAGGACACATTAGCAAACCACTGACTTTCAGTAGGTTATTGCTGTGACTGAAATATGCATCTGCAGCAAAACTTATGTAAAACAGTATGCCTACTGCAAGATGCCTTAATGTTCATACATATGCATTAATATCAAACAGGGAAGATGCATTAATATCAAACAGGGAAGATGCATCAATTTTCCCATTAGCAAATTAACTGCTAGAAGGATTGGAGGCCGTGCAGTGTTGAAGACATAGGTCAAAGCTTGCAAAGTGGATGATGAAGCCCTTGCCTGAATAAAACTATCAAATAGGAGCATTGATTGTGACGGGATGAAGTAGGCTACATTCCCAGGAGTGCATTCCAGAGGAATAAGAGGCAGCTCATTCCAAATATTTAGTATGAGAAAAAGAGAGTGGAGACAGCCCCTTCCTAATAGCTCAGAGTATATGCCAGATGCAGCTAGTAGAGTACTTAGTTGCCACAATTCTGTCTATAGATGTGGAACAATAAAAAAAATTACTATGAGAATTAATACCACTTTATAAAACCTTAGTAAGACCATACTTGGAAAAGCGTATCCGGTTTTGGCCACCACATTACAAAACAGAGGTTGAGGCTTTGGAGACTAAGACATATGAAGAACAATTGTAGGAATTGGGAATGGCTAGTTTAGAGAAAAGGAGGATTAGGAGTGACATGATAGCAGTGTTCCAATATTTGAGAGGTTGCCACAAAGAAGAGGAGGTCAATTTATTTTCCAAAGCACCAGAAGGCAAGACAAGAAACAATGGATGGAAACTAATCAAGGAGAGAATTTATTTTCCAAAACACCGGAAAGCAGGACCAGAAACAATGGATGGAAACTAATCAAGGAAAGAAGCAACCTGGAATTAAGGAGAGACTTCCTAACAGTGAGAACAATTAACCAGTGGAACAATTAACAATTAACCAGTGGAATGGCTAATTGTGGGTGCTCCAACACTGGAGGTTTTTAAGGAGACACTGGACAGCCTCTTATCTCAAATTTTGTAATGTCTCCTGCTTGAAAAGGGTTGGACCAGAAGATCTCCAGGGTCCCTTCCAGCTCTATTCTGATTCTGAGTCCCTCATGTATAGCCAACCAATTGGATTGGCTTCCAAGTTGCTTGGAAGAATCACCACATGTCTTTCTTGGTTTTGGGGGCCTGACATTAATTTATCTGTTATGAGAACTTTGGGGTTCTTCTGGACTTGTGGGTGAATCATTACTCCTACAGATCATCCTTAAATGTTATAACAGATCATCCTTTGCAATGGTGGCTGAAGAGCTGCACAATGCAATTAGTTTTTAGCTATGTTTTTGAATGCCTTGGGTGATGCAAGCTTCTTTCTCCCAAGTGATATCTGTTTGTGAATGCCTCCTCACTGGCAGTGATTCAAAAGCTTAAGTGCAGAAGTGTTCCTTCCCCCACCTTTCCTGCACCTCCATATTCTATTACGGTTTGGCATTTGTCCTGTGTTGGTATCTCCTTTCAAGCACATATTCAGTTTTATTCCTTCTGCTAATACAAGGAGGCAAAACAAAATAAAAACAAAAAAAACCCCAACTTCTGACGCCCTGGCTGAGCTCACCTGTCATGCTAGGTCATGGTCTGCTTTATCCATGCTTCCTTTAATTAATCTAAGTGTCTGGTTCACACATATTGGTAATCCCTAAATTAGTTTCTAAACCACACTGGTTTAGTTCTATTCATCACCCAACTGAAAGTCAATTTTGGAATAGTGATTAAGGTGTTGACCTAGAAACCAGGTAACTGGGAGTTCTAGTCCTCCCTTAGGAATGAGTTTACAGACCTGAGATAACTGTGGTTAGGCATTCCCCCCCCCACCCCCAGTTGTCTCCTCTGAACTGAAATATCCAGTTTCAGATGGGAAAAATAAAAACTGGGTGTTTGAGAAATGCAGTTTTTAGATAGAATAGGGAAATTAATTAAACTGCAATTTGCAAATGCTAATGATTAAGTTGGGCTACTCACATATGTTGAACTATAACTCCCATCACTTTCTAGCCATGTTGATCAAAGGCAATGGCAATTGTAGTCCGACATATCTAGAAGCACTAGTAAAAATAGCCTCAACTTACAACTAGTTGCTTAGGAAGGGTTCAAAGTTACAACAGACTTCCCCAGGCTTCCCCAGATTCAAAGTTATCAAGGGGACACACACACACACACACACACACACACATCGTGGTTACATTATTGCATTTTGGGTGCTCAACAACTGGCCCACATGTATGGATGTCTGTGGTGTCCTGTTGTCACTTCACAATTTACTTGTTTCGTCAGAAACTGGCGTTTACTTCGGATTTCTGACAAAAACGCCCATTGTGGATAATGGATTTTGCTTCCTGAACATCACACACACAAAAAAAATCATATAATTGGCCATAGTAATATGGTGACCTCCTTAACAACTAGCACAACTTACAACCATAATTCTGGGCTCAATTAGAGTCTCAAGTCGAAGATTCTCCATATAAGGAAGTTTGCTACACTTGTATTTGGAAATATGTAGAAAAATAATTATTGGGGAGGGACAAGCAAACGTATGGGGAAGTGTATAAACTCTATTTTAGGGTTGACCAAAACATTCCTGGGCTTAACATATTTTTCTTTAATTTGATCTCTGAATCCTAACTGAAATCATTAGCTGATCTTAAATTCTTTTGGAAGAATTCTCCATCGGCACGTGGATCATTGCGTTGTAACAGAAATGCAAGTTAGGTTCGAGCTATGTGATACCTCTCAGCATTATGACACTTGGAACTTTCTTCCTATATAACTTGAAAATTATTTTTAATAATAATAGGTTTTTAAAAGAGCTAAATTCATGTGTGAACACTAAGTCTCCAAAGGTGTTGATGTTCCAACTGACATCTTGCAATATTTTCCATAAGAACACAACGTGATATTTGGCAATTTTCTGAGGTTTTAGTCACTTTGGGCATTTGTGGCTAGGTCAATCTGCACTGCCTTTGCAGGTTCTCATCCTGGGAAATGTTGTTTTAAAAACAGAGCAATTTCACCCGTTCAAAGTTTGCCATCTCCATCATTCTTCACAAGAAGGGAGGGAAAATTACATAGAGGCTGTCACCAGGAGTTAATCCAAGGATAAATATTTATTTATATTTATTTATTTTGTTTTTGCTGAATCATTTAGTTTTGATGTCTCACTTATCTACTTTGTTACTTTCATTCAAAACAAATGCTGGTAATGAGATACACTGAATAAATTGAATTAGTATTTTGACTGATGCACTCCCTCCCATATAACAGATGTCTATTCTCAGATAGGCACATTGTACCTTTTTTAAAGCTGTAAACTTTGGAGGAAGCAACAGCAAGCAAGGATGGTCAAGCCAAGGTAAATTGGGGTTTAGTTGTGTCAGTTTTGTCAGCTGACAGAGCCGTAGATAAATCATTACCTCAGGAGTAGGGTAAGTTTCAACCAGCCATATTGCACAAACTTTGTCCATTGAATGGTTCATCAAGTTATGGATTTTTAAAGTATGGTTTTATCAATGACCTGAAATTGGATGGATCCATTCAACCTATGAAGCCCAAAGCAACCACTTTGGTGCATTTGTTTATGAGACTTATCAAAATGCATGGCTCTGGATAACTAACCATGATTTTTAAAAAAATACAAAGAAAAGCATAAAACCCACAGCAGTCAGAGAAAAAAAATATAAAAGCAATAGGTCAACACAGCTCTAACAATGGGTCTGCACTTGATCATCTGAATCCAATTCTAATCTGGTTACTGTGAATTCTGAGAATAGAAGACCTAACACCTGGAAGCCACCACATCCTACAAGATTACCTCCAGCTACTGTATTTCAGCAATCAAGACTAAACTGATTCAGAATGTTATTTAGGGGAAACGGCAGAGAGGGGAAAATTAAAAGCACAATTCTAATTGCATTTGGAGAGAATCAACGGCAACCACCACTCTGACCTTACACACCTGCCAGAGTCATCAGCACATCGCAGTTTTCTGTGGGGACCGTTTTCATCCACGATTTATTGGACATGATGTAACGCCCAGCCTGCAGCAGACGTTTCCCAAACAGCTTGTCTGTGAAGAGAGAAGTACAGATGGTGAATCACTGAGTGCTTTTGGAACCAGCATCTTTTAATTGAGCTGAGATGCATTGAAAAGAAACTTGGATGCCCTCTTTTCTCTCCTGTGAGGGACCCGCCTTGCCTCTCCTCTGATTTGCAGAAATGTCAGGCCTAAGTCCAGAGAAGATGCAGCAAAACCTAATCAAGTTCAGCCCTTGACTTGCTGATACCTAGTGAACAGAATCTTGCCAAGCTAAACCTGTAACATTAGGGTTGTCAAACTCAAGGCCCGCAGGCCAGATCTGGCCTACAAGGTGCTTAGATCTGGCCCATGAGGCCACCCTAGAAACAGTAAAGGACTGGCCCATGGTGCCTGCCAGTGAAAATGGAGCTTGGGAGCGGCGCATGTGGTCCTCCCAGGTCCGTTTTCGCTGGCTGGAGGTCATCACAAACAAAAACAGAGCCTGGGAGGACAATGGATTCCCCCCCAGCCCCGCCCAGGCCACCACAGATTCCCCCGACACAAGTGACATTGATGCGCCCCCCCAGCCCCCCCCCCACGAGGTCAAACACAACCCTGATTGCGGCTCTCAGTGAAATAGAGTTTGATACTCCTGTACTAGATATATATCATTAGAGATTCTCAGATGCGTTTACCCTGAACCTCTTCCCCTTTCCCCCATCCAGTTTAGGGCTGCACAATCTCCGAATGCTGGCCTGTCTTTGGGGAAGCTCTGGGTTGTCAAACCTCCAGGGTTGGGCTACTGGGGGCTCGCGAGAGCCCCTAGCTAAGACTCTGCAAGGCTTGGAGGGCCCCCAAGAACCTCAGGAAGATAAGCAGCAAGGGAAAGCTCTTAATAGGCTTAATTGAACTTCTGGGCATTTTACTCCTCGTAAAAGTGTTGCAAGCTAGATGAACAATCCACTCAGCGCTTGGGAGGGAGAGCCATTGAAAAAAATCAGATAATATAGCCACTAGCCTCCAAGAGGATTAATCCCCAAACAATAAGAATAATTCACCAGGAACTCCACTAAGACTCCAAGATCCCTGTCACAGTCACTGCTATTAAGCCTGGTTTCACTCAGTCTTTTATTTAAGTATTAAATGCATGAAATAATACACAACTTTTTGGTATATATCTTTGTTTAGGTAATTAAGGCCAAGAAGCAACATCGAGTTGGCCACATCCACCCAGTCACATGACCACCCAGCCACACCCATCCAGTCAGTCATTAGGGCAGAGAGCCCCTTGCTAAAAAAATTGAAGCCCACTCCCGCAAACCTCTCCCACCGACTCCTCCTCCAGATGCAGGTTCTGTCACATTCAGAGATTGGAGTGGGATGCTGGATTAAGAGCAGGCTCCTCCTCTGATCCAGCAGAGCTGATATTAGGGCTATCTATTGCTTCTCTACCTTAGAAAGCCATCAGAGCTTTTCATGTTCAGAGACAGTGTTTCAGAACAACCAGTGCAAAAGGAGGTAACGGCGAAAGATTTTTTCCAATGAAAAATCCTTTCCCAATGAAATATCTTTTCCCACCCTCTCATTAGGTTAGGCTACTGGTAGTCTTCAACTTACGATCACAATTGGGCCCAAAATTTATGTTGCTATTCGAGAGAATTGCTAAGTGAGTTTTGCCCTATTTTACAAACTTTCTTGCCCCAGTTCTTAATTGAATCACTGCAATTGTTAAGTTAGAAACACAATTGTTGAGCGAATCTGGCTTCCCCATTGACTGCTTGTCAGAAGGTTGCAAAAGGTGATCATGTGACCCTGGGACACTGCAACCGTCATAAATATGAGTCAGTTGCCAAGCGTCCAAATTTTGATCAAGTAGCCATCGGGATGCTGGAAGGATCATAAGTGTGAGAAACGCTTGCAAGTCGCTTTTTTTCAGTGCCGTTATAATTTCAAACAGTCACTAAACAAATGATTGTAAGTCGAGGACTACCTGTACAATTATGTCCTGCTACTGCAAGAATGCTCATCCCAGCTCAGGATCATGGGTGCGGCAGGCAAGAAAATCTGAAGACACAGGGCTGCAGAAGGCAGCTTCTCTGTGATGCCCACATAGCCACAATTGAAAACTGTTAATGAACAAGCCAGAATCTCTGTTCTTACTGTGACAGAAAATCCTTCAACATTAAACAGTAGAACATTAAATTCTGAATGAACAATCCAAATCTACTGATAAGTTGTTCAGACAAACCTATGCAACCATATCAGTAAAAATGCATTTCTATTCATCACATTGCTCATTTTTCTGAAGGCATATCAAGAAGGACTTGGGGCCACTGATGACCTCATGGAAACCCGAGCATTAGGGCATGTTTTGAGAGGAGAAGTTGGACTCCGATGGGAAATCTCCGTTTCTCCCTTTGCTGGAAAGGATCTATAAACACTTTTGTGACATAGGAGCAGAAACAGTTCAGTGCAGGAGTCAGGCTAAGTAAGTGCCTGACTTACTAAGAGGGCAGGAACCTTGGTGGAAAACAATTTAGATCAGGCATGTCTAACCTGCACATGTGCCCCTGGGCAGCTAGAATAATGCGGCCCCCACAATGTTATAATGAAAAATATTAAACAGCAAGTAAAATTTGTTATTTATATACGTTAGCTATATTATATAGTTTATATGCAGCCTATGGCAATCCCTTTTCACTAAAAGTGGCTCAGGCAAGCCAAAAGGTTGGACACACATGGATTACACAGTCTGCCTTCCCTCTTTCATAACCCCAAACTGTGCCCTGGTTAAGTTTAGCTCCTTCTTCATAGGGCTGCCAATCCTGTCCTCTGCCCAAAAAAAGTGTTGTGCCTATACATTCAACAGCCACACAGGCAAAAATTCAACAGGGGAAGTATTTTCCACCTCAAGCTGGGCTTTATTTACAGTTGCAGGCCCAGAAGTCTATCATAATTGGAAGTCCATTGCTCTGCCGTTCCAAAAAAAAGGACAAAGGTGTTCTTAGGAAAATACATATAAAAGCCAGAATAATTTAATAATACATAATACATAACAGCGATTTACCTCCTCTTGCACCACCAAGAAGAATAAAGTGCTCTTTATTATTTGTTTAATGCATTCTTCTTGCAGTGCAAGTCAATTCTTGCTGAAGGTTGTATCAGACCTATAAACCAGCACCTCTTCATTCAAGCTCCCACCTCTTCAAGGGACTCCTGTTTTTCTCTCTCTGGTTCATCTTGATTTACACATAAACCACGCACACATGCACACACCAGTTTGCACAAAAGGATCCCTTTTATCCGTTGCAAGATAGACCTAGCCAGATGTCACCAATAACACATACTTCTTACGTATACTTACTATTGGGAAATCTCTGCTGAAAAGATGGAGAAATGGGGAGAGGGAGGCGGTGGGAATGTTGAAACTAGACATTTCTATGGCAACCAACTCAATGATGGATTTCCCAGTAGTTTTGGTTGTTCTCAGCATATATCGAGTCCACTGATCTACAGTTTCTGCCTGCTGTCCACTAATAAGCTATTAAAGGTTCCAAAATTGGCAAAAGAAGCAAAAACCAGAATTTGGCTTGCCTTGCGTCAGAAATACTGTGCGGGAAACAAAACCTTCCCCAGTGAGATGTGAAGAAATTTCAGTTCCCAGAATTTGCAACGTGGCCTATAAGTGATGGCAGCGGTGGTTTCAGGATCCATGCATACTGGTGCAGAAATATTTGTGGCTAGCTATAACCAAAAAGCCACCATTTAATTTATTTACTTATTTGATTTCCGTAACTGCCCATCTGTACAAGTAAAACGTGCCAATTGTGGCACATTTGCATAGGCTGCAAAGCTAAAAGGTTAGAGAGAATAGAGGCCAATGACTAACTTCTTGCATGCATGAATGTCATGTGTAGTTTCCTAAGCCCATGGGCTTGAAATGTAAATCCAGACAGAGAAACATATTGTAGTCTTGATTTAACCATTGAAACATTTAACCATTGAAACAAACGCTATTTAATTTTCTAAAGCACCTGAAGGCCAGGCAAGAATAATGCGTGGAAACTGATCAGGGAGAGATTCAACCTGGCAATAAGGAGAACTTTTCTGACAGTGAGAACAATCAACTAATGGAACAGCTTGCCCTCGGAAGTTGTGGGAGCTTCATCACTGGAAGCTTTCAAGAAGAAACTGGACTACCATCTATCAGAAATGGTGTAGGCTCTCCTGCTTTTGGGGGGAGGGGGTTGGACTAGATCAGTGGTCTCCAACCTTGGCAATTTTAAGACTTGTGGACTTCAACTCTGGGAGTTGTTATTCTGTATCTGTAACACCAAAAGAAGATAAGCTCTAAAGAACTATAGCTTTTTAGATATTTTACAAATATGTTTCTTAAATTTTTTAAAAATTTAAATCTAAAAATGTTAGTATGTTTACTGTTTTGCTGTTTGCTACCCAGAGTTACTTTTTGTAAGATGGGTAACCATATAAATTTGATTTAAATAAATAAGTTTTCCAGTAACATCACAACATCCCTAAGATGGGGATGCACTGCAGCCCCCAATTCTCCCATTATTTCACCTCTGGCATATTGTGACAGGGAACCCAGTCAGAAAGTTCTCCTGGGAAGGAAGAACTATACATGCCACTGGATCCTTTTGGAGAAGAGGTGGCTATAATGATTACTCCTTTAATCATTATCTTCAGAAATGTTTCTGCCCAGGAAATGTTAGCTTATTGTTTCTAAATGTGGCAATGAGGACTAGAAGCTTGTGTGGCAAAAATCTAGCTAGACTGGAACAGGCAGCAGCAGAAAATGGATGTGAAGGCAGAACCTGGCCCAAAGCCAACGGGCTACAAAGATTAGCACATCAGGAAACAAATATGTCAAGACAAGCAGGACTCATCTCCTTCAGCAGGTAGTTAATTGAGAGAAAGGGCCCAAGGGTTCCCTGGAGTATGAATCACACCCTGCTATTTTGCAATTGTTTTATCTAGTCCTTTTCCTGAGAAATAAAAGTTTCGCTGTTGGGCTAAAACTGAGGGGGGGG